AAAACTTGATAAGATTTTCACTTTTACTCCTCTGGTTTAGAGAAAACAATGTTATTTCTCTAAAAGTATTTATATAAAATAAATCTTATATGGTTTAGAGAGAACAATGCTATTTCTCTAAAAATATTTATATAAAATAAATCTTTTACTTTTACCTTGACGATTCTATGTGTACATAAAAACAAAATCTTTGTTATAATTGACTTGGAGTATATAATACTTTGTTTCAATATGCTAAAAAAAATAAAAATTACAAAATTTATTAATACTCCAACAGTAAAACACAAGTACCTATTTTATGTATAACAGTAATGCTTCAAAAAAAAATAGTGTTTAATAGAGCATTATTGATTAGGTATCATCAGATTCATGCACACGGTCATGACAAATTTATTCATTGACTGAGGTGCAGCCACGCCAAGTTTTTTTGCCTTAATTATTTTTTATATTTTGACTTCTTCCAAAAGGCAAAGTCTACCTATTGATACATATATAATAATCAATATTAAATTGAGGATCTTCCTCGGACTCATGAAGTTTATTAAACTTAATAAATGAATAAATAAGTCTTAAAGAGCCGTTCGCAGGATGTTGTGCAAAAAATATGTCTTATATGTTTGTACACATATATAAGTAAATTCACGTTTTTTACGTGTTTTTCGAATTGAAATTTCTATTTATAAATTCATATAGGATGCTAGTTTTGCATCTCATATATGATAGACCCCGAATACCGCGGGCCTGCGCGCACCGCACGCCGCGTCCCGGACCGAGCTTGGGCCGTCGCTGCGTATATAAGACGGGCGAAACCGGCTCCGAGCACCATTCCTTTTTTATCCCGCTCTACGAGATGTTGACTCGGAAGCATTCCTAGGTCTCCGAGGTGCTGACTCGGAACCGACAACCCACCTTTGAGGCGCTGACCAGAGATGCCAGTTTGCGGACTCTTGCAGCATGCAGCAGCAGGTGGAAGGGATACGCACACAGACAAACAGGCGTGTACGTGTGCAATCGGAGCTTCGGCCAACTTTGAGCAGTAGAAGGAGAGGGACATACATAGTCGTTCTCTTTCTTTCGTTATAGCTATAGCTAACATTGCCGACCGCCGATCCGCAAGAAGCGTGCCTAGCCTGTTTCTCGTGCGTAGCTCGTATGTTCCTTCTCTCTCTCTCTCTCTCTCTCTCTGGTGAGTACACGTGCTGACGTATATTTGTTCGCTCTTTACATTTGGTTCGTTTACTGCCTGTACTTGCCCTTTGGGGCGACTCTTTTTTAGTTGATAAGCTGCCTGTGCTCTCTGGGCCTGGTGCTCAGCTATATTTATTATTTGAGGTACGCTACTTGGCCTTAATTCTATTCTAATCGGATTCTTCATTTACGGATTGCTGTTGGTTTGTCGCCGTTATCACGGCCCGTTTCGGGCCTGTGGGCCGTACGCGCAGGTGCGTGATCCCGGCGTGTGACTCACTGATTGGTGGTTTTCTTGGAACGGCTTGACGGTTTCTCGGTATCTCGGATGTCAGAGAAGAATTCTGCCTTGCCGACCATGGAGGGTGCCGAGAGCTGGGGTACTCCTGTTGAGACGCGCAGGCTTCCGAGAGTGGCTAGTGGATCAAGTATTGCGACTAATACTCGTATTAATGTTTCTAAGATAAATGCCCTTAGAGCCTCTGTTGACAGGCACAGCGATTTAGTGGCGAAAGTTCTGCTATCCAGTAAAGAGCATGCTGACAAAAAATCCGCCATTGAGTCTGCATTCAGAGCATGCAAGGAAGCGTTTGTTGAAGTTTCCTCGGTTTTAATTAATATTCTGGAGGACAAATCTGTTGATCTACTCACGTTGGATGATATAAAAAAGGCTGTCAAGGATACTTTGATTGANAATAACACTGATTCTCAGATGACTTNCTTNTCGAATAAGNAGCTTGCGTGTAATNCTCAGCCTCTGTCTTACGCATCAGTGGCCGGTAATAGGANAAATAAAATTTGTGTCTCTGGAGGTCTTATGTTGGATGCGCCTCCTTCTACTTCAACCTCTTTTTTAATTGTGCCCAAGGAAGGAAATTCAAATTATGATTCTTCGAAAGCCACGAGAGAGGCGTTATGTAAGGCCCTGAAGCCATCGGATTGTGCTCTGAAGATCAACAAAGTTACTTTTGCTCGTAATAATGGAATTAAAATTGATGCGGTCTTTCCTGATATTGACTCGATCAAAATGCATCCTGGACTNGCNAAAGCTGGTCTGAANGTTATCGAAAATGTGAAGTTGAATCCAAGATTAATTATGTATAATGTTCCTGTGGAAATGACTGCGGAGGAGATTGTTGAAGAAATTATTGCTCAAAATTTAGCGGATATTAACAAGATAGATATAAAAGTTGTCTACACGTATCCGGCGAAGCCTGATAATCGTACTACGAGCTGTGTCCTTGAAGTATCTCCTCTCATTAGGAATATTCTGCTAAAACGAGGCCGTATCTACCTGAGATACTCTGCTTGTAAATTTACTGATTACGTTAGGGTCCTGCAATGCTACAATTGTATGACTTTTGGCCACTTAGCTAAATTTTGCAAATCAAAGCCGACTTGTGGACTCTGCAGCAATGAGCATCTAACNAAAGACTGTGGAAGGAAAGACATNCTAAAGTGTGGAAATTGTATGCGTAACANGAGCTTTTCGTCTGGAGACCTGTGTCACTCTGCCTTTGATACGAAGAAATGTCCAATATTAAATCGAAAAATAACTGACAAAATATCGAACATTAATTATGGATAATCGAAGAACTAACTATAACCATTTGCGTATGTGTCACGTCAATTGCCAGTCTTTGGTAGCTCATTTTGACGAATTTAATGTCTTCTTCCTTAAGTCTCAGTATCAAGTTATCTGCTTATCTGAGACTTGGCTAAAGCCGGAAATTTGACAGTCTCTTTAACTTGAATGGCTATTCGCTGCATAGATGCGACAGAGTTGGCAGGNGCGGAGGAGGTGTCGCTTTTTATTTGCATAACTCTCTTGGGGCAAAGATTCTCAGAATGTCAAGTGGAGTTTATTGCTGTAAGCCGGAATACATAATTGCTGAAATCTCCTTCTCTAGGGCTGCCAATCTTCTTTTAGCAGTTGTTTACAGACCACCAAATTGTGGCTTTCTGCAGGAGTTTGAGACTGAGTTTCTTGATCTTCAAGCAACTTACAGACATTCGGTTATATTCGGAGACTTCAACGCTGATTTGCTTTCAATCAGTTATGATAGTGCCCACTTAACTACATTTGTCGAGTCGTCTGGCCTTTATCTTGTGCCTTATCGGGCCACACATAATTTGATGAACTCTAGCACTTTACTGGATTTGTGTATCGTGGATGACATGGATAAGATCAATGATTTTGGACAACATGATGTGCCATTCCTGTCGGCGCATGATCTAATATATATAGAATACAAGATTCTGACCGAACGTATGCAAGAGCGTGAAACTACATTTAGGGATTTCAGGAATTTCGATGAAACTGCATTTATTCGCGATATACTCAGGATTGATTGGAGTGACTTGGACTCTTCAGTGTCGCTTGATGACAAAGTTGATATTTTAAATCAATGTTTACTGCAATGTGTGAATAAGCATGCTCCTCTCCGTCGCGGCAGATTCAAGAATCTTCCGGCGCCGTGGTTGAGCCTTGATATCAAGAATGCGATGAGAAGAAGAGACAAAGCTCGTAGGAAATGGCGCAGGGATCATAAGGTTGAGTCTTATGATATCTTTAAGCGACTTAGAAATGACGTACAACGTTCAGTACGTACAGCAAAGAATGATTACTACCTCTCGATTTTCTCCAATAAGAGCTCTGGTGCTACTTGGACTGAACTGCGACGACTTGGCCTGATTCAATCTAAAGCGGGAATGAACAAGCGTCTTTCTAATACTACAGATGAATTAAATTGTTATTTTGCGCATGTGGCTGGAGGCCCTGGTGGTGCTGGTGTCGGCCAGGTGATGGAGTTTCCGGATGTGAACATGATGAGCGATGCTTTTGACGATCGTAGACTACATTGGAAGTACGTTACTCCCCAAGACATTTATCGAGTATTCTCGAATATTAAGTCGAATGCTACGGGCTCTGATGGCATATCAGTCAAAATAATAAAATTCATCTTGCCTTACATTATGCCTATCATCGAGCATATCTATAATTTTTCACTCTCTCACGGGTACTTTCCGGAGTGTTGGAAGAGGTCTGTGATATGTCCTGTTCCTAAGATCAAGGATCCAACGATGCCAAAGCATTATCGACCGATTGCTATTCTGCCTACTCTCTCGAAGGCCCTAGAGAGAATTGTCTGTGATCAAGTCCGGGATTATCTTGAGGAGAATGATCTATGGGATCAATTTCAGTTTGCATACAAGAAAGGTCATTCAACTGAGACCAGTGTTATTAGAATACTGGATGACGTTAGATGGGCTGCTGATAAAAGAATGGTCACAATTGCAGTATTATTTGATTTCTCTAAGGCATTTGACCGGGTGCAGCACTGGATTCTGCTACAAAAGCTAACAAAATACAACTTCTCTTATCATGCGTTGCTCTGGATTAGATCGTACTTGGAAGGTCGATCACAACTTGTCAAGGACCCATTTAGTCAGGAATGGTCCTCACCTGTTGACATCACAGCCGGAGTACCTCAGGGATCTGTCTTGGGACCATTGCTTTTCGTACTGTATCTTGGAGACTTTGCCAAGTTGTTATCTCACTGTAAGTACAGTTTTTATGCTGATGACCTTGTTCTGTACTTGCATTGTGAACCACGTGAGCTTTCCCATGGAATAGCTAAGGTTAACTCCGACATCACTAATAGCCTGGACTTTACGCAATGATCTTGCTCTGAATTCAGAGAAAACGCAGGCAATAATCATGGGATCAGCTAGATATGTCAACAATATAAACTACGATGAACTGCCGAATATCGTTGTAAGTGATGCCACGGTTCAATTTAGCTCTTCTGTCAGATATCTGAGTGTCACAATCTCCTGTAACCTCTCATGGAATCTGCATGTGACAAATGTCGTCAAAAGAATTTATATGACGTTGTATCAGCTAAAATTATGCAAAAATTTACTGCCACAGAAGCTTAAACAGAATTTAATTGTCGCCCTTGTATTTCCTCACATCGATTACTGCTGTTGTGTTATGACTGACATTACTGCTGAGCACAACCTGCGACTACACAGAGCCTTAAATGCCTGTATTCGATTTATTTTTAACTTAAGGAGAGATGAACACATTACTCCTTATTATGATGCACTCCAATGGCTCAAAATTAGTGACAGGAGAGCTTACTTCATGTGCTGCCTGCTTCATCAAATTCTATCTACTAACAAGCCTTCTACTCTTTACGGAAAGTTCCTGTATCGTGGTACTTCTGTAAGAAGCGTTAGAGCTCTGGCTGTGGACCTTATTTAGCCTATGTGCCGAACTGAAATCTACAGGCGCTCCTTCGCATGCTCTGCTATTGCTATGTGGAATAAAATTCCTCCACATTTACGTATTACTCAATCTATTGGTTTATTTAAGAGATTGATGTTTGCCCATTTATTGGATAGTTGCTGCTCTTAGTAATTATAGACATAATTAATTAATGTTGTCTGTTTATATTTACTCTGTATTATAGTTATCGTTATTATTACCATCTTTTTCTTCTTATTTTTATCTATTTTTCTTTTGTTTGCTTTGTATATATTGTATATGTTTGTTGAATTTATTATTATGTTATATTACTATTACATAGTTTATTTTGTATTTTGTATTTTTGCGCTTAAGGGAATTTTATCCCGGAGCGCTTAATAAATAATGCTTTCTCTCTCTCTCTCTCTCTCTCTCTCTCTCTCTCTCTCTCTCTCATACTTAAATGAATATTACTAANTCTCTCTCTCTCTCTCTCTCTCTCTCTCTCTCTCTCTCTCTCTCATACTTAAATGAATATTACTAAGGCTGCGTTCTTATATTCACTGCCAATACTGGAAATCTATAGCAAAAGTAACGTGAAGTATAGATTTTTAATACTGGCAATAAATATCGGAATGCAGCCAAAATACATCTGAAAATTAAATGGATACATATAAAAGATATAAGACTAAAATCAAATTTAGTTATATTGATACTACCGAATCACTAGATCAAATATATTGAAAATCAAATGTAATAAGTAACAAAAAACAACTATTTGTATAATAAATATTATATAAGCAAGAAGTATTATTTTGAAATTTCTATCTTTTAATTATTTCACACTACAAACTATCAAATATTAAGAATATAAAATAAACACAAAACCCATAAAATGTGATTATTTTCTTAACATTTATTAAAACTTATTACAACTAAAAATTTATCTTGTATAAAACACTTTGGCAACAAACACTGCGCTTTTATACATAAAGAAAAATAATATAAATAATAGTATAAATAAAAATATTAAAAGTTTTAGCCCGGTTGACAGTGCGACACGTGAGGGCGTGATGCCACGCACCAATGCGGTGATTCACACTCTAATCCAGGAACAATTAATCAAACTCGTGAACCAGTATAAGATAGACGTGACTGGATCGATCGACGACCTGCGTTGACTGAAAAGCTACGCCGACAACCACCCGACCAAATTTGCTGATAAAACCCCCAACCTGACACGTGTCGCCGATCCTACCAAAATGGACGAGGTAAACCCTAACGCGTCGCCATTTCGCGTCGGGGTAACAATGAATCTCGTTAGGAAGTGAGGGTGCCGATTTTCCGGCAAAGATTTATTTGCGTTCCTGGAACGAGAGAAGAAGCTCCGTTGCGGGTATGGACAGTTGCTGCGGTGTTTACCCGAGCTGATCACCGGGGAACCGCTCTTGTGGTATCAAAATAACCGGGATTTTTTGAACTCGTGGACCGAATTTGTCGCGGACTATTGCCCGAATTACACCCAGGCCGCATTAAATAAAGAGATCCGCGATACAGGAGCCGGACGAACCATTCCCCGCGTACGTAACCGCGTTGCAGACGCTGATGCGACCACATGAGGGGCTTACCGCGGTCCAGCAGTTAGACCGGATATATGAGAATATGAACCCAAAATACCATATGTATTTGCCTCGGTCCGATCTCAAAAACGTAGCGCAGTTACTGCATCGGATGGCCGAATACGACCGTATCGAGCGTAACAAGGCCGATTATCAGGCGCAAACCGCGCGGAAGAAAACGGACACCACTTCTACCAGGACCGCCGCCGCCGAAGCCGATACCGCCGTGATCAATCCAATATATAAGCGCAGCAAGTGCTGTTGGAATTGCGGCCAACGCGGACATCTAAAATCCGAGTGTAAGCGACCGTTCCGGAAATTTTGTTCCACCTGTGGAAAGACCGGAGTTTTGACACGCGATTGCCACTTGCCGGGAAACGGGCAAGCGGCCGGAAGCGGAAAAGAATAGGCCAATTTTAACATTGTGTTCAACCCGCAACCGATGATTACCGTCAGTATCCTAAGGCGTAAGTTTTCGGCACTACTGGACTCGGGGTCCTCCCGCTCCTTCATCACGAAGGAAGTCGGACAGCATTGCCATGAGAACCACTACTGCGCTCAGGACGAAGCCATGCCAATCTGGTTGGCCAATGGCGCCGAAGCGCCGATCCACGAATGGTACATTATACCAATGCAGATCGGGCAGACCGTGCAGCTATTTGGCGTGATGCCCGATCTGACAGTGGACATATTAATTGGGGTAGACATAATGGCGGAATTAAGCATTGGCATCCCAGCACCGCCTAAGCGCCAAAAATCCGACGATTGCGGAAGCGCTACTACCGTCAAAGACGAAGCCAAAAAGTTCCGGCAATTCCTAGCCGACGAACTGCCGAAGTTCGACGCCGTCACCAGACCGACTACCGTTACCGAACACCGTATCGGGCGGGTTCCGTTTGACCACAGTACGATTCGACACCGCTCGATTCGACACAGATTTATTCGACACCAAATTATTCGACACCGTACGAT